TTATATTTTGGAAGTTTCTAAGTATTAGTTATTATCTACTACCCTCAATTTCTGCCTTTTCTGGCCTACACTAAAACCTGTGATGCTTGCTAGTCATACAATAAGTAGACAAATAAATAAAGAGATGCCAGAAATATTGCTTGGTGACTTGAGAAAGAGTCTGAGAAGAATTGCAAAAAACTATAATTTGTAGTAGTAAAGATAGTTTAATGAAAAAAAACTACTTTAACATATTCAAATAAATTAAAATTACTTTGTCCAAGTAAGTCTGGATATGTGTGCCTTAAACCAAACCTTATTGTTTATTTCACAACTTTTTAGTAAGAATATGATTACTTATTTAGGGAAATGAAATTCCTTTCTGTGAAACTGTTGCCTAACTCAGTTATCACCACCATCCCATCCTAGTCATCTTGACTAGAAGTACAAAAGTTCTCTTCAATCAATCTTAATTTTCTAAGTCACAAGAATTAGAAGAAAAATGGGTAGCATCTGCAGACAAAGCAGGCAACACACTGGGTGACTCAAACCTAGGTCTTCTGGCTGCTTGGCTCATGTTCTTTTCACTATCCTATATTAGCTTTCTCAAAATAACTTAATTGTAAAGTGAACTTTGGGAAGTCTGCAAAGAGCCAGTATCTCATTTAATCTGGGTAATAATCCTGAGAAGTAAGTTGGAATAGACAATTTTTTTCTAATATAAAAGTGTTACAGTTCGAATACAAAATGTCCCTCACAAGCTCAAGTACTAAATACTCGGTCCCTAGTTGGTGGCACTATTTTGGGAGGTTCTGGCAACTTTAAGAGGTGGGACCTAGCTGGAGGAAGAAGGTTACCTGGGATGGGCACTTACAGGTACCTGTCCCTTGCCCTTTCCTCTCTCTTTCTCCGCTTCCTATCTGCCATGAGGTGAATGGCCTCCTCCTCCACATGTTCCCACCACTATGATGTTCTGCCCAAACACACACAGTCAAGTGGACTGAAACCTCTCAAATTGTGAGCCAAAATAAATCCTCCCTCCCTTAGGCTGTTTCTCTTGGATATTTGTCACAGCATAAGGAAGTGACTGATAGGACAGGCCACTGGGTATCCAAGGAATAGAATACTTGTTCAAAGAAATTGTGTCTAATGCCTGGTAATATTTGTAAAATATAACACTAAAAAATTATTACATGCAACTGAAATATGTGACTTTAGACAATATCTTTAAATGAGTATAGCCTATCTTTCGGGTTTATATTACTAGGATGGCAAATGCTAGCATTTGTATTGGCCCTCCCCTTTCCCATTGTAATCCTTTGGTACATTCTTTCCTGCTGGGCAGAACTCAGCCTCAGAATCTTTCTGAACGTACTGCTAGAGGACCCCTATTGATGATGGCAACACTAGCAGGACATTTTATCATGTACATTCCTATTTTGATTCTCTTTACTTGGATCTCACTCACATAACACTTGTTTCTGGCATTTTTCTTTGCTTTTGATTTGATATTTGTTATTAATAGTTCTGACATTATTTCATATTTGTATCCATTGTCTTTTCCAATACAAGGGCTCTGACTTTTATTCATTTCAGAGCCTCAACTGCAATGATTCATATACAATAGGCACTTAATAGGTTCTGAACATATCTGAGACAAATTATGGTATTTAGGGAAAAAAACAAGTAAACAAAAAACCTCAAGAAACTGTCCTTGTTTCTGAATATAATTTAATCAGGGATCAATACATGTTTTCTGTAAACAGTCAGACAGTAAATACAAGCTTTGTGGAGCATGGTCTGTGATATAACACTCAACTGTGCCACAACAGTTTAAAAGTGTCCACAGAACATACATACACAGGTGAGAGGTCTGAGTTCTAGTTAATAATTTTCATGCCACTAAATATTATTCCTTCTTTTGAATTTTCTCCCTAACAATTTAAAAATATAAAAACCACTCGTAGCTTGAAGGTCATAGAAAAACAAGAGGCAGGCTGGATTTGGAGATCTCCAGCCCAGACTTGGTGTTTTCAAAAGTGAGAATTTCTGGTGGTCTGTGATGCCAGTTTCCAATGAGAGACCTTATTTTCTTTGTCTACTTCAACCAAAACAATGGTATTACGACAGACCAAATGCAGAAGCAAATATGAGGATCTAGATTGCTTCTAGCCAAAAACTGAAGAGATCTGCAAAAATGTAAAACAATGCCAACCCTCTCAGTAGCTTTTCTTTGTGTTTGGAAAATATATAGTTATATTTCATATCAAATGCTATTTATATTAACATGTAATGGGGTTAATATTTTTTTAAGACAAACATTTTCTAAATTCCTCAGTTTTGATTTCTAATATGATTGATACTAATAGATATACATCATGTGAACAAAAGCTCTCTGGGGGTTCTTAGGACATTTTAAGTGTGTTAAGGGAGCAGGGGGTCCAAACAATTTGAGAACCAGCAGCTGAGCTATAGCAGAGTGCACCAAGGCCTGCCCATCAGACTTGTCACCTTCAGCTTCCACCTTGACCTCTCCCCAACCACGGGCTGCCTGGAAATTGATTGATTGAGGCCTGATTTGATACAATTCAGTCTCATACAATTATGTTCTTACATAATGAAGTTGGTGATAACATCATGGTTATTATCATGAAAGAACCCTTTTGATATACTCAGGCCATAGGAAACACTTTGGCCTTTACATTGCCAAAATAGCAACTAGAAGCAAGTATTCCTCCCTAGCTTTTATTTTCCAATCTTTAAAAACAAATTATTATTCTAATTCCTTGTCTCCAGAACATTATCTCAAACATTTCTCAATCACAGTACACCTTTGATCAGGGCCCATAAATATTGTAGGAGCCCAATCTTATTCAGGACCCTCATAACAGGGTTAAATTTAAGAAATAAAATCCACAGGACATGGTGCAAGTTTAGTTGACAATGTTCATAATACTGTGCTAAGAATTCATTTTGTAAATAAGGCGTATCAAATTATAGAATACTTTAATGAGCACTAATACTTGGCTTGTTTTGTCATTTGAGATTTAAGAACTTTTAAAAGACGATTTTAGGGGAAATTAAAGGGAAATTTCTTTAATTCCAGTATTACAATATATGGGGAAACTTTACATAAGGAAGTATTCCTTTCAATATAAATTTACTTTGTCATAAGGTTTAATTGTCTATCCAAATGATGTGGACTGTTGCCCAGGAGAAACCTTTCCTTCCTCCCCCCCTCTACCCCTGTGTCTATCTCTCTTTCTGTCTCTCTCTCCTTTTCCTTTTGTACCTCCCTCTCTCACTTCCTTCCTTTCACATTTTAAAGAAAATTAAGGAAACAGTAACCATGAGTCCAACACACTTACCATTTTGTTAAATTACATCCTCTTAATGTGAAAATGTTTCCCCAGGAGTATATTATTCTAAAAGTATAATTTTACTTATGGAATAATAATTTTGTCAACAATAACCAAGAAGGAAGAAATTTATATGTTTGTATATTTATCCTTCATCTATATTATAAAACATATTTAAAACCAGGAATTAGGATTGGATAGTAAGTCTGCCAGTTTGTGAGTATTGGCTACAAAGAAGTAGAATAAAACATATCTGACTATTCTGACCAACATCGAAATTGAAATTTGTACTGGGAGCATGGCTAAAGTGGTAGAACGTGCACCTAGTAAACACAAGGCCCTGAGTTCAATTCCCAGTACTGAAAAACAAATCAGAACAAACAAACAAAAAACCCTGAAATTCACTAGCATCTTTAAGATCAGAAAGCTATTAGCAAATTATCACCTATTCTAGGGATTGTCACCCATTTGGGGGAATAGTACAAATTACAGAAGAAAGATTTTGGTGGCTATGACGTTCAATGAAGAACAAAAAATAGACCTAAAATGTGGGGAAAATGCTAACTGTTTAAAACTACAGTAAAAGCAAAAGTCTCATCATGATTGCAAAACACTCCAAATTGTGAAACTTAAGTTATTTGTAAAACAGACAAAATTAAAGCAGCTTCCTCAGTCATTTTTTGAGATCTCAGCATCAATTTAAAGAAAATGCTTATATTTAAAAGAAAGCCTATTTCAAAATATGGATCTCTTCACTAAGGACTTTTAAGGACACGAATTTATGTCTCATCACATAGCATTCCTGAACGATGTGCATGGAAATAAATGTCATGGAAGCCTGAAGGGAAAAAGAAAGTTATTTGCTTCACTATTTGATTCTTTTAAGGAATAAAAGAGCCTCAATGCTAAAGCATGTGAAGACTATAGAACTAAATAGATACTAAGGTAAAAGTGAAACAATTTACATAACTCTGTTATGTGAGCAAAGGAAAGGGCATGGGAACTTTACTGTGCAGAAAACAGATTATTTCTAGCAAATTCTGCCTCCTGAAAAGTTTTTGTATAATAATTTTCCTCATTCTCATTTTTAAGTCTAAAGTATGTCCATCAAAAAACCTAAGTATAATAGTCTATTAAGGAGATAGCAAATTTAAAAATCACATGGAGTTTATTCTACTACAAGGATAAAATGACCAAAAGGATTTAGGCACATATTTGAGAAAGGAAAAAAAAAAAAAGGGTTTTGAGAAAACACTGCTGATATTACTCCAAAGGAGTGAAATTAGGAAGTATGGTGATTTTAAAGTTTGGCACAGCAGTTTAAAATTTGAAAAATACCATTTTATTGTCATAAAATACTTTACAGTTTTATTTTGCTTTCCCAATTCCCCTCCCCAGCGGTGGGACAATCCATGCCACTTTCTTCAGCTGCTGGGGAATTTTCTTAGCACTTTGTGGAAACTGTTGACTTTCAGAAATGGACAGACTGATTTGAACCAAAAGTTAGACAAAACACACAACTGCAACAACAATAAAAAGCAACTTAGGAAGAGGGGCAAGCCAAGCATACAAGCAAACTACAGAATCAGTTTTCTGAGACTTTTCATCAAGTCAGTTCCCTAATTCCAAAAGGCCAAACCAAAGCAAAGCATGGTGACTTACATTGCTTCTTCAGTTCTTTCAGTTGTTGCTTAAATTGTACAAATTTTTCGTTATTTTGAAAGTCTGCATCAGAATTCTTATTCTGTAAAGTCAAAAACTGCTTCTCCACTAATAATTTTAAATCTGGTATATTTTCTGGACGTTCTTCTTTCACCTAAGGAAGATAACAAAACCACCTTAGATAAGTGAGACTAGTAATAAGGACCTTATCACATTCTACATCTCATATGATTCAAATAAAGACAATGAAAAAACAGAATCCCCTGAACAAGAACAAGACTGCTAGGAAATAGTGGAGGAACCACTCGTCTGATCTGTTAAGCCCACTTTCCCTTTCTTGGACTATGCAGCCCTTCAATGCTCCTATTAGCATGCTGCTTCCTGATACCAGGGAAAATTGCAAAGTAAGGCACCTTCACCAGAACACAGGCATCACCATTTCTTCCTTCACCCAGTTCTGTTCAGCCACTCTCCCATGTTCAATAGTGGTTGTTCCACTTTCTAATGTCAGTGCTCCTCTTTTCTGGCTCTGGACCCCAGCAGGTGATAGTGACTCTTACTTAACAAAAAAAAAGTGAGGCTTTCACCTTGACATTCCATGATTTCCTGGCACAACAAGGAGTAGGTGTCCCCCTTGTTCACTGAAGGCTAAACTCTCAATCTATGTTTATCCCCTCACTAATATTACACAATTTTCAAGCATACAGAAAAGTCAAAGGAATTGTGCTGTAAGCACTTGTAATCATCTACTTCCTAGACGCCACAATTAACACTCTGCTGCCATCACATACGTGCCCATCTATCTATCCTTCTATCCACCCTCAACCTTGATCTTAAGTTTGTTATAGTTACATCTTCTTCATCTCCCTTAAAACAAACATTCTCTCACTATAGATCTTTCCCCAAAAATATTTACATTGGCTCTTCACTTTAATATTTTCTTAAAAAACCAATCTTTTATAATTTCTGTTCTGTGCCCCCCAGCTACCTTCTTTAGCTCAAAACCAAAAAAGCTCAACTGGAAAGAGAAGGTAGAAACACAATTTAATAAGCATGTGAATAAGAACACAGTGACTAGCTATCTTCCTCTACCTCTATGTAGTAGAACAAGATGAGGCAAGTCCAAAATTGTAGCATGAAGAGTTCAGAGCAGATCTAGAAAATAAATTACTGGCTCTTAGAAAAGGATTATAGGCTTTCTTTCTGAATTTCTAAAATAAAATGGGCTTACATTCACCTAAGATGTTAAGGGTAACACTACAGTCTTCTTAGGGTCTTTGATCAGTCTGAAATTATTATGCAATTTGGGATGATTAGAAATGACCTGATAGGAGCAGATAATACATAAAAGTCACATGTTCTTTTTCAACAAAGTCTCTAATGAGCTCAACAAACTTAATTCCTCTGGTTCAACCACAACCCCTACTGAGGAGTAGGATATATGACTGGGTAGGGAGTAGAGGGTGAGGATGGAGGAAGTAGGCATTTTAAGGATGACAGCAATATGAAATATAACTAGGAAAATATGAATAAGCCAAATGCAGTGATTTGGTATATTTTTCTGTCCATAACCATACCCTCTACAACGCTGTAAAGTACAAAATTCACTGCAGCAAGTATCGTCTATAGAAGTTTGATGCAGCATGTTTTTCATTGCAAAGAGAACTTTCTGTACCTTAGCTGTCAGAATGACAACATGGAAAATATTCAATTCATTATCTGTTTAAGTCAATGCAATAAACAGGGATTATTAGCTATTTTTTAAT